GGGGGGGGGGGGTGCAGGTTTAGGGTGTAGAGCTTGGGGAGGTGGGTGGTTTCTGTTCTTGGAGGGTTCGGATTTAATCCTGTCTGTGGGCGGTCAGGGTCATGGGTCGCTTGTGTTTTTTTCGGGGGGTTAGTGTTGTCAGGCCTAAAAGTTAGGGTTTCGGTGGTTACGGACGGCAGTCTCGCGTGCTCTTAAGAGCGGGTGTTTATAAACACCGCCGGGAAGAACACATGAAAGTGCAGGAATTGAAAGAAAGTGGATAGGCTTTCGATGGTTTGCGGCTATATCTACTAGAGGAATTATGTAGCGACTACGTGGGGAGATGAAAGCCAAGCCTGTGGCCTGTGTGCGACACCGCGGACTCTGGGATGGGTAAGCTGCAAAGCTGAAGCCCCGAATCCCCCAAACCTACTCTGGGGGCTTTAATCATTAGAATAGGGTTCCTTTAAAGGGGTTACTGTAAAGGGTATTATAAGGGTTTAATAATAGGAATATAGGGGCCGTAATCATTAGAATAGGGTTCCTTTAAAAGGGTTACTATCAAGGGTATTGTAAAGGCTTAATATAGGAATATAGGGGCCTTAATAATTAGAATAGGGTTCCTTTAAAAGGGTTACTACGAAGGGTATTATAAGGGTTTAATATAGGAACTCAGGGGGTATACTATACTAAAACTATAATAAGGAACTCCCCCCAAAATAGTATTGGTAATTGTTTAGGCCCCTACATATAACTCCCCAAGCCCGAAGCCAGGAGCCGCCAGCTACACCTAAAGCCTTGAACCCATAAAGCCCAAGCCGTAAGAATGCCCCGAAGACTCACAGCCTAAACCTTCAAGTCTAGACTTCTCCACCCAACAACCCCGAAGGTGCACAGAACCCTAAACCCTGAACCTTAAACCTTAAACCCAAAATCCTAGGCCCTAAACTCTAGAACCCTAGACCGTGGGCCAAGCAGCCGTGCGATAAAGTAGCTCGGGATCGACGCTCCGAAAACTGCCCAGGCGAGCGAAGTCGTCCCAACCAAAGTGCGACAGCCTCTGGGTTCAAGTTGCTTTCAGGTTGCTCCTTAACGGGGATCCTTTAAAGGTTCTTTAAGGGTTTAGGGTTTAGGGTGGTTCCTTTACAGGTACTTGAGGGTTCTATACGGGCTTTTTTTGGGCTTATGTCCAGGGAAGATGACCCTAGCCCAAGACAGGCCTAACCTCTTGACTCCGGTAGGGATTTTATGCCCAACCCTCAACCCCCTCAACCCCTAAACCCAAAGACGTCCCATGACACGTTGCATAAACCCCTAAACCCCAAAAAACCCACCCCTCCCCCCAGCCAAAAAAAACAAAACAACATCGGGAACCCCAGGATCAGGGAACCTGAGGCCTAGGCAGGGTTTAGGGTTTAGGGTTCTGCCGACCGCTGGGTACTACTCGGAAATATTCCGAAAACCAAATATGGGATGACACCGGGGTACCATCCGTAATTTTTCCGACTCCTAATTTAGGGGCCTTAATAGTTAAAACAGGGTTTTGGGGCACATTGTTCTATGATTATCACAAGGAACCCCTAACATAGTATTGGTATGTATTTAGGCCCCTATATTAACCCTAAACCGGACGGGCTGCAGGTGGTGAAGAACGGTGTCCACCGCCACGTTGGTTTGGCAAAGCAGGAGAATCCTCCGAGTATCCCGCCGGGCACGCAGAAGCCTTGTGACAGCTTGGGCCTAAGCCCTATACTCCAAACCCTATACCCTAAACCCTAGACCCTAAAGCCCTAAATCCAAAACCCTAAAACCTGAAACCCTAGGGCCCCTATAAGGAATACGGCTAAAGGGCTCTTTCAACCGTTACCATAAGGGCTCCTCTAGGATTCTTGGACTATATTAGCCGGTTTGGGATTCCCGTTGGGTTCCTTCAACGACTAAGGCTTATTAGGGGTTTGGGGTCTTATAATTTAGGGTATAAGGTTGAGGGCTTAGCAGTTGGCGGTCTGAAGTTCAGGGATGGACTACTGTAGGGGCTTACTTTGGGGTTCTGCGAATCGAATGATGTTGTGTTCACACCCTTGAGCACCTTCATGTGCCTTCTATGCCGGTGCCTAAGAGCAGCAGTGAACTTTGCGTATGTACGCAATCCATTCAGACTTGGACTACTGCAGGCCGGCAGTTTCGGGGTCTAGTGAAGTGCTAGAGGTATATACTGTGCTGCGCTGCTATGGCGACCACACAACACACAAGCATCAGCGCCTAAACCCGTAAACCCTACACCGACAACCCTAAAGCCTAAACAAACAAATCCCTACAGCCACCCATTCCCTCCTCCCGAACCCAAAAGCCCCGTGACCAGGCCCTGAAAGCAGTGATTTCCTGCACATCGCCTAAATGCTGTAAAGCTTTCCACTCTTCGAAGGCTCTACAAGGGTTTAGGGTTTAGGGTTTAGGGTTTGGGGTTTAGGGTTTGGGGTTTAGGGTTTAGGGTGTAGGGTTTGCCTAAGCCATAACCCCCCAAGGCCGTAAGACCTCTAGTACATCCCAAGCAATTCCGACAAAAGGCCTATCCAGCGAGACGATGCAGGCCGCCAACGTCCGAGATTTCCCCGAGCCAAACACTCCGCGCAGGAGTGTCGGAACGTTGTTGGAGCCTCCTGCTTCGCAAAAGGCAGCGGCCAAGCCGTTACGTGTGTGTCTGTATCTTAGAACTTTTTCGGAACGAGCACCGCTTCCGTGCGTCGAGGCTGTCATTTCATCCACCCAGAACCTATTGATGCAAAACCCTAACCACCACTTTTGAAGGTGAAAATTGGCTGGTTTCGGGCATCCACAAGCTTAGGCTTACCTGCTTGTCGAGTGTCCACCACAGGTACCTGACGGTTAACCTCTGGGACAATAGAGGGGTCGCACTCCCTCCTCCGACAGGTAACCAGGCACCCACGCGACCACTAAAACGCCCTAAAGGCACTGATTGAGAGACTGGAGAAGCTGAAAGATGTGCTTCGAAGATGCAAGGCGTATGGCAGGGCCAACAGTTTGCCATGTTGTGTTGTGTTGAAGTCAAGCTTACATCACAAAACTGCTTGGCGGACCCAAGGGGCCTAAGGACTTTGAAACCATCAGGCTGATATAAGGCAAATTCAAACCTGAACCCTAAACCCTGAACCCTGAACCCTAAACCCTGAATCATTAACTCTAAACCCGAAACCCCCCAAAAGCCAGAAGCAACAAAGACCCCGAAACCGAAACCCGAGCGAGACCCTTAAGGGCGATCGTTCATCTCCGGCCGGGGGGAGGCTGGAAGTTTAGGGTTTAGGGTTTAGGGCTTAGGGTTTAGGGCTTAGGGTTTAGGGTTTAGGGTTTAGGGTGGGAGTCAGGGCATGGGCTGAAGGCGCTACAACTCGGTTTTGGATTTAGGGTTTAGGGTTTAGGGGTTTAGGGGTTTGGGTTTTAGGGGTTATAGGGGTTTAGGGGTTATAGGGGTTTAGGGGTTTGGGGTTTAGGGTTTAGGGATTAGGGGTTTAGGGTTTAGGGATTTAGAGGGTTTAGGGGGCTGAACTCAGCCTCAGACGGCAATTTGCAGCTGAAATGGAGACTCGTTGCTCTCCCCCAAACGGGGCGGTTTAGGGTTTAGGGTTTAGGTTTTTTTTTTTTAACATTTGCTTTGGCCTTCGCCCTCAAGCGACCGGTCGCTGTCTTCGCCTTTGCTTTGGCCTTCGTCACGTTCGTCTTCGCGCAGGCCGTCGCCTTCCGGCGGCTGCAACTTCGCTCCTCGACGAGGGCGTGCGCTTCATCGTATCCTGCGGCAATCGCATCGGATTGCAGTCGGAAGACTCTGTCACCGCAGAAGTACCGACTGTAACGTGTGCCATCGCGGCGCAGAAACTGCGCCTTTATCCATTGCGGCCGGCGCGGCATAATGCTGACTGCAGGCTCCGGCCGGGGCTGGCTAAGGACTTGCGAGCTGAGCGGGTTTTTTGGGTTTTAGGGTTTAGGGTTTAGCCCCGGCTTACTTGAGACAGTGTTTGCCCCCAGAAATCTCCAAACCTTACGCCCTAAGCCCTAAACCGCTCCAATCCGAAAGTGGTCCTGGATGAAGCCAGGAAGTGAGATGGTGGACAACCTTTCCAGATCTGAGGAAGGCATAAAGAGCTACCGATCTACGGTTTAGGGTTTAGGGATATAGGGTTTAGGTATGCTCTCAATTGTACTTCCCTTTTGGGATTCCGTAGGAGCTCGGCTAACTCCGAAAAGGAACGACAATGGAGATTGCAGGTATTCTGCGGCCTAAACCACGAAGCACATAACTCCCTAAACCGTTTAGGCTTTAGGATCTGGTGCTACAAGCCCTAAGCCCAGAGCCAATAAATCCTTAGACTCACGCCCTAAGCATAAATCCCTAGACCCTAAACCCTAAGCCCTAAGCCTAAACCCATAACTCCCTAGACGCCATAAATCCCAAGCCACACCTTTGCATTGACGGGACGGGGGTCGTCAGCGAGCTTAGTGTTTGGGATTCTGGTTCAGGGTTTAGGGTTTAGGGTTTAGGGTTCAGGGTTCAGGGTTTAGGGTTTAGGGGGTGGGGCTCGGACTCAGACTCAAAGGTTGTTGAATTTGCGGTTCTGAGGTGTGGTTCAGGGTTGTGGAGGTTTTTGTTCCCTGCGCCTACAGTACCGAAGCTTCGACGACTCTGTTAAGGACAACTCCTACAGCAGTCGTGTCTCTCTTTCTGCATTTTCCGGCGTTGGCCAACAATCAGCACATGGACGCTGACCGTGGGATAATGGCACCTGCCACTCCACAAGCTCATAGGAAAGCAGTTTCCGGTCCGGTATCTTGTTGCCAGGTGGTGAGAGTCTAGCAGAGAAACTAATGTAGGGGCTTTGATTAGAACAGGGTTTTGCGGTATAT